TTAAGCAGTTCAAACTTAATTTGGTGTCTAAATGCAAGAATGGTAAGGATGCACTAAAATAGTAACAATTTATGGACCATAATGATGACTTTTAGACATGGAACGGCAAAAAACTATGAAAATGCGCTCAACGAATCATTCGTTTTCATCGTCGATATTGAACATAATGGCAATAACTTCACAAATGTACGACCCAGTGATCATTCTTTATATACCAAATCAACCTCTATTATTCCCGCTGATTAAAAATATTAAAAACATTGGCAAAATGTTTGTAAAACATTGGAATATAATTACTAACATAAACCCACCCCCTAGTGAAGTTAATTTACACCAAAATCGTCATGTGAGTTTTTCTTATATTGAATGAAATTCATACCATAAATATGTCCGATAGAGTCCTTTCAAAGTCTTATATATTAAACTGGGAACCCCTGCATAACTCAATGCTTGCAGAACTGGAGCAAATTCAAGGATGGCTGCCTATTTTACCATTCATAATATCACATGCACATCGCCGATTAAGATTCTATACGCTTTAAATTACAGTTTTGCGAATAGCATGCAAATTGCAAGAGTCATAACAAGTATTCACAATCATAGCTGTCACCTTTATTACAATTGCCAACTACAAGTATATTTTGTACAATACACAAGCTGCGAAGAGGCATTCTTTAGTCATCGTCATCGCTCGATGGTTCATCATCTTCATATCCTGGCCAACATCTCATCTGGCATGTTGTCGCACCCATCTCCTCTCAGCAGCTACAAGAGATGCCGACCATGCGCTAGAGCAATTCAATCGTTTAATGAAGGTGTCCGGAAGGATCGGTCGGCATCACACTAATCACCTGCCAACAGGCAGCAGAGCAGAGGATTCTTCCTGATTGCACGCAGAAACTCGCTCGACTGGCACAGTGAAGCGGTGAGGGTATTCGCTGGCATACCAGTACACCATAGACCCATGTTCACCATGAACACAGTCAGCACAGGCTTCCCCTGCATGGCAGTTACACCGACCAAAGAGCAAGAACGCTTCAAGCTCTCAAGTCAACGGATCAACGAATTTCCAAATCCTTTCACAGAAGACGGAGAATCAGCCGTGATAAATCTGGTTACGAAAACTGTGATGCCTGAACAAGATCCAACCAAAATATCCACAAACATGCCTGTGATTGGTCAGCAGCGCTTTTCAACATTCGTGTTCTGAAAGAATTACAACACAACCAGGTTAATCTGTGGGCACAATAAAAAACGAACTCAAGATGTGCGTCCACAACAGGCGCGAAAGTAAAGAGTAGCAGTTGGACAGACAAAGTTTTTGAACTCCAAGAAGACTGAGCATCTTTGCTCGATTGATAGTTTCATGTCAATCAAGACCGGATGTCGAATTTTGAAGAGGCTGTAGGTACCCTTTGAGTTTCCGTTGTTCCAAGATCCCGTCGTTTATCAGCGGGATGGTGCCACTGTTGCATACCAGTTCGAAGAGCGACCGTAATGGGCGAACCTGCGAAGGACTCATCGACGCGACCAGAATGTTGCGTGAGCCCGCTGAATCACATGATGAAAGTGGGATCCAAACATGTTGTTGTCGGTCGACGCCATGTGCGATTGCAGTCGCTTAGACAAGCCAGACACCGGATAAAGGAGCATGTCGCAAACCCCATTTCAATCACAACGGTCACTGCGGAAATCGGGAAAGTATGACGCAAGTCATGAGCTTCGACGATATCGATGTCGCCTGCGTTCGTCGCGGAAAGGGGTCCCTGCAAGTCCGCTACAAGGCTAGACTGAAAAGACTTGGTATAAGCTGTTCCTGTAGCCCTATCAAAAACGATTTAGATCAATTAGAAGGGCTCGATGCAGAAGCTCTCTCGCGAGATGGTGATAAAAGACTAGGAGCTCAACACGTCACATGCGCATTAGAAATATACCTCGAGCCTGCGACACTGACCAGGAGAAACATCTTTATTGTGGCATGGAGCGGGACAAACGCGAAGGCGAGACGATTTCTGATCTGCGGCCAGTAGCTCAGGAAGAACGCTGACACCAAGACTGATACTTCACGCCAAGAGCGCGGTTACCGTCTGGGGCAGGTGCTACGTCCGATCAGCATCACTCGTCAAGATCACTGGTGTTCCTCGTACTGGCGCCCTCAGAGCGATACCCAGAGGTGTCGAAATGTTCACTATTGTAACGGAGCACCGGGCCAGAGGTGTCAAAGGCATTTCACTTCAAAGCCGATCCTTTGCTATGGCGCTGGGCCTCGAGCACCGCTCGCACACCTCCCCTTGGCTTTACCATGCTGTCAGTGGTGCCAGGAATGCCTGGGCGCTTTTCCAGAGATTGAGCAAAGAAACGTGCTGGAAAGTGCCCTTGTCTGATATGACATGCAGAAGCTGTGATGGCAGATTTGGGCAGCTCGGTAGAAGGCACAACCGTCTCGAGGCACAATGGATGTCTTGCTCGACGACGCTGTATGGTCTGCGAAACGTGTACGCCTCCCGCAGATGACGATGACGCTTCACGAGCATGCACGCGTCAGACGGCTCAGCAGCACCTATTCAAAAAGAAACAGCGCAAGCAGAGAGTCTGCCACCGCACACACATGCTGCGCTGTCGGGGCACCTCCATGAGGGTCACACTACAGGCCACTGTATTGGCAGGCGTGGGACGTTGTGGGCCAGATCCGGCGTTACCCCTTCACTCCTGATCCTCTATGGCTGGTATTTGGTGGCAAGCACGAGTACAGGCTGATCATGACAGCACGCTGCCGCCTGCTCCCAGATCAGGCGAAGTGGCTTCACTCTCGTCAGTAGTAGCACTTGGTGCCAATATATGTATGTGTTGGAGAGTAGACAATCGGCTAACCACTAAAAAGTATCGCTATATCGTCTTTTTATTTACAAAATTGTATTTTTGGGAAAATAGTTAATTTTGCGATCGATGCGTTTCATAAAATCGCTGATAAAATAATGTTTGCGCAATATCCCAGATTGCCACCTTCATTTTTCTTGTTCTATACTATATCATAAAGATATTAAAATAGGTCTCTTGCTTTAATCATTAAATGCCCACGGGAGCTCAATTCATGACATAAGAGACCACACTACTACGATAAATATTGAACAGCCAATAGCTGAACGTGCCCGTGTCACATGACATTCAAAATGGCATCGAATCAATCAAATGAAATAAATTTTATCGTAGGTGTGCGGGTGTTTATCGGAAGGCGTCGCGCTGAGCCGATTTTACAAACGATGAAGAGATTTTTTAATCGGACCGATTTCTGGAGAAATCTTTTTAGGTGTGCGCCGGCCTTAAGCGAAATGGCGTCCATTTTGTTTTTAAAATGGTGAGAATTTTCACTTACTTGCTGGAGCATCATGGACGTGTGCCCCTCCTGAGCCGACGCATATTACCAAAGTCTTGAGTGGTCTCACATGTGATAGATAACATCAGGAGTGTATAATACAGCGATCTCTATATTCTGACATTCCTGATAACATGATATCGCTTATGACGATGCAGTATCAGCACCTATGCGAATTAAGTTTCGCCTGTGTATTTGTAAACTACACGTACCTGTCTCCCGGCGACTTCCTCTCAAGGCCTAGTTTCTTCAGGAAGGAATCTGGGAGGCTGGGGAAGGCGACTGCATCCTTGCTTGGTACTGGCGGTTCCAGGGCGCCTCCCGTCCGCTCCGTCGTAAGATCTGTAACCACGTGACGACAGAATTAGGCATCCGATCTGACAGGTGGACGGGCGAGCCATCTCCTATGGCCGCCAATGCCTACAGCGCCCCTACATAATTTCAAAATTCGACACGATAAATTTCATCGAGACGTCATGAATATGAGCCCCTTGATTAAATTCTTTGAGTAATGCACCATACCTATATATCGGCATATCGCAATATTGTGTGTGTGCGCACGTCACTGCACACAAGAGTCGAGTATTCATTATCGAATTTAGAGGACCTCGCCCCATTCTCTTTACGTATCAGAGTATAGAGAGCTCTCGTTTAATTCCTGCGTACCTTCAGAGTCCATCGAACCGCCGCTGGCATTGCGGGCCGATTCCGTCTCCGAGAATTCGGCCATTTCCGCAACTTTCGACTTCAACTGTTTCTTGCCGGCAGTGTTCTGTAATATTACGAAATAGAACTTTAAAAGTATCGATGAATTCTCATTAATCAAATAAACACGTATCACGCCCAGTTTAAACTACAGTAAACAACTACTCTAGCTAAATAATTTTTCGATGACGTAACATTTTATGACTATAATATATCAAAATATATTCGTAAGCATTTACATTACAGCGCCCACACGTTCAAGTAAATGCAAAGATTCATGCCATTCATATTATATCTCCAAAAATACCTAAAACCTAGAAATCAGCCTATTGTTTTGTAAATTTTAAATTTAATTTTTCATTTAAAATTAAAATAAAAATCACGCGTACCTCCGGTGACTTCTCATCCCCATTATTGTTATTCCGATTCATATGTGCAGAGTTGGAAACCTTCAAAATACGATCAATCACAATAAGAAATATGTCCAATGAAATAACTACCGAATGAGAAAACAGTCAGTACATATGCATCTGGGACGCCAATTGAGAAACGAATTCTGCTGTCATTAAAAATCAATATTTTATTGAATAGTGGTCGTTGAAAGTCGCTAATATATAAGAATATATATAATAATATATTACCAACAGGTGGCAGTAGAAACGCGCTAAAATACTACAGGGTATTGTACCACGGGTTTTCTTGTTCCATAGTCTTCTTCCTCTGTACCGTAATCGAATGCTTGGCAACGCGGTACAGGACTATTACCGGGAGATAGACCTGCATGACAAGCCGCAAAAAGGCGTGATTACACAAATGAGATACATTTTCTACTAGTTCTCTGCATCGAAACGGCAAATGCGTTTTTTTTTCAATGAATTTCGTTCGCTGAAAAAATCTTGTCGAAATCAGAGCTCTTGCAATAATTATATACGTAATATTGCAACCGGGAATATTTTTATGCTCGCCCGTGAATTAGCGAAGGCAATTTCATGCGCATTCAATTTTCCACTCGGTTAAAATTATCGTTACTTCCTCGTCATCAAACTCGTCCAATATATGAAATGCGTATTTCATCTACTTTTACGGGCCTAGCAAGCATCTATCGTTTTCAGGGTATAAAATGTAATACAGCAGTCCAACCAATCAGCGCAAAGTACGTGACGTATAATGCAAGATGGCCGACACTCACTACCGCTGGAGCTTTTTCGGCGCTGCCGTCTGCTCTGTCTCATGGATGACCTTTTGAATTCCTCCTCTGGAACGTTTTTCTTCTCCGCCATGCCGCCCGCGTCTTTTCCATTTATCGTCTGCAGAAAATGTCACAAGATTGTTTTCGTTCAAGTAATCTTCATTTTTTGCACTAAACACGATGCGAGATTCGCAGTCGATCATCCAACAGAAATGGCATTCAAGATGGGAACGTTTTCCCCACTTTTCAGTTTGCATCCAGTTGCGCCACCTATACCCATTAGATGAACACCTGGTCGTTTCCACAAAGGTAAAGGGTTAGGAGCCCATCTACTCGCACTACACGTACATAAAACTGCCTTCATATTGGTCACACAGTATATAACACTGCACCACTCTGATTGATTGAAATTGTAATAGATCAGGTTAAAGGTTATTCGCCCCAGCAGGTTTAAATTGACTACGTCACGCATTCTCTATGGTGTATATTTGTAAAAATTTTGTTGCCATTGTTTTTACATGAAAAGTAAGTACTACCAGCACTGAATGTATCCTCAAATTCTTACCTGATAAGATTGTTTTTCAAGTAGTTCAAAATCCAAAAAATCTGGGCGATTTGATATATTTATCATGACATTAAATGCTTGCTAAGAGTTATGTATGAGTCACGAGGGTTTTTTCAAATCGAACGGAATAGCAAAATAGGAAGTATAATGCAGCAATTTAACCATAAAACGCGGACAGAATCACATACATTTTGTGAAAAAGTGGACATCATTTTTTTTACTTTCACTATTTACAGTGACGTAATAGTGCAAACCAGACCACAACGCCGTTTACGACGTGCATCCAATAAAAATAATCTCAGGATTACGAGAAGCAATAGACCGCTAGGGGGTAATTCAATTATCCAAAACCTTTTTTACGCGCACGTTACTATTCCATCGCTGACTGACGTCCATTTCGGCCATGCGGTTACAATTTTCAACTTGTAATTCCCACCAATTAAAGGGTTATTGAATAACATGGCCGTCATTCATAGAGAGAGAGAGAGAGAGAGAGAGAGAGAGAGAGAGAGAAAGCGAGCGAGAGAGAGAAAGAGAGAGAGAGAGAGAGAGGCGCAAACACATTCTTTCTCTCTCGTGTGTGTTCTCTCTCTCTCTCTCTCTCTCTCTCTCTCTCTCCGCCTCGCGCGCTCTCTGTCTCTTTCTTCCTTTTTCTCACTTCCTCTTTCTGTTGACGATTTAATCATCCTTTCAGCTCTTTCATTGCTCATCTCTGGCTCTCATGGGCCATCTCTTCGTTCTTCTTCAAATACCTTCTCTAAATTCCCCAAGCCACTTTCTTTTGCTACGCACGTTTCTTATACTTGCAACGGTAAGATTTACGGATTTGATCGTATTTCGTATTCAAACTTACCTCTGTCTGCGATGCAAGTAATACACAAGGCTAGCCTTAAGCTATTCTTGTTAACGCCTATATATATATCCAGACTGTACCAAAACTCATGTCAGCCGTTGGTGCGTCTTTGAGACTAAATGAATTATATTAAATGCATTGCACACATGTCGATTTAGAATCACTGATATGCTTCTTATATATCATACCAAATAAACGCTAATTATGAAGTATAAGCCCAACCCTAAATCTCTGCCCGCCACATCATGCGTGTACTGTCGGGATACGGCGGCAACACAAGCTGCTACTATCTTTTAGTTTCAGTTTCTTTCTCTCCTAAACGAATCCGGAATCTTTATAATTATGTAGTTAGCGCCAAATGTCAAAACTGTCCTGGGGGACAGATTTTGTTATCATCTAAATACTTTGTCCATACTACCCACGCGTGTATAAAATCTAAGATAACGCGCCTAGAGCATTTTCATACATTACCAATATTGTTTCATAACGTCAACCAACTACTACGCATTTCGTGCTGCTTTCTTCAAATCAACGAGAAATTCTCCTTTCGAACGTAAACTCCGACAATTTCGATTGCATAATGGCGAGAGTAAATTGGCCGAAGCGATAGCATCGTCGCGCGCACTGTGCACGAAACGATTCAGTCGTAATGGAGCGATAAATTGAACATCGTTGACACGCGCCTGCTCTGACGTCACGACAGACGAGCGCGAGTGCCAGGGCGCGATCATTATGCGCACGAGGACTTTGCAGACGACTGACGTTCGAGCGAAACAGACACACGAATACAGCATAACTGTTAGACATTTTTTTTTTTTAAGTCTAGTGCAGTTTTATATATATATGGGGGAACTCGTCCGCGCGCAGTTTCCCGATCGAAGGCTTGATTAGTTAGGAAAGTTAGCTTTCTCGTAAGTACGTCAACAATGTTAATTAAATATAATTGCGAGCGACTCAAACTCATTACGACAGTTCGCCTTTCCCTCGGGGCTCGCACATAAAAAATTTTATTATCGCAGAATAAAACGCGAAAAATTTTCTCTCATAAAAGAAGCATCTCGGTTCGATAACTTTCCGGGCGAATTTTCCAAACGCGTTGCAGGCGAGCTTTTCCGTAACTGTTCATGCGGGGCTGCTTAATTAACAAAACAAAACATATAGCAGATGCAGCTGTCAAGCTGAAGTAATCTAAAATACTAACCTATTAACAAACCTGACAATCAGCGTGTGCACGATGGACGGCGGATCGTGGCACGCCATTTATTTTCGTCGATTTTGCGTTTCAACTAGATTGAGGTAGACGTCGCGCGTAAAGGCCGGCGCACACCAGCCAATTTATCACGCGATTTGATAGGCCCGATAAAAATCAGCCGATATCGGGTAGGTGTGCGCGTTCATTTGTAGACGATTTTACTTACGATTATTTTTATCGGGTGATCGTTCCAAATCAAACATGTTTGATTTTGAACCGATTATTTTGAAGCGATGGCTGTTGTTCAATAGGGGTTATCGTGTAGTGTGGTCTCTCTAATGTCATGAGATTGAGCTCCCGATGGGGCATTTAATGCATATAAAGCAAGAGGACCTATTGTTAAATATCGTTTATGATATAGTAATACACCAGAAAGGATGAGGGTGGGCAATCTGGGTATATTGCGGCAAACGCGATTAATTGGTATGCAGGGCGATTGTTATGAAACGCGTGATCGCAAAAGTAACAAGTTTTCGCCCAAAATACAATTTGTTTAAATAAAAAGACGATTTAGCAGTTTAGCAAACTTTGGAATTTTGGGTGTCCCAAAAATGCTCGATAGGAATGGAAGGGATCCACTAAAACGTAGTAACAATTTATGACTATAATGAATGTATTTTAAGGCATGGAACGGCAGAAAAGCTATGAAAATGGCGCCACCTCACTGAATATCTTCGGCTTCATCGTCAGATATTGAACATAAATGGTGCAATATACTTCACAATGGTACGACGCGCAGTGCATGCATTTTTTATATACCGCAAAATCAACCGCTCTCATTAATCTCCCCTGATTTAAGGGAACCTATTTAAAAACAGTTGGCAAAATGTTTGTAAAAGCATTGAATAATAATTGACTAACATAACGGCCACCCCCTAGTGAAAGTTAATTACAGCCAAAATCGTCATGTGAGTTTGTTCTTATATGAATGAAATTCATACCATAAAGTATGTCGATAGAGGTCCTTTGCATAAGTCGTTATAATTAACAGTCGTGGGACGGCCGGACGCTTGGCAAGTAACTGCCAATTTGCTGCAGAACGTGGAGCAAATTCAGATGGCTGCTCTATCTTGTGACCCGGATTCAGTGGCCATAACTAATGACCACTGAGGATGCACTCGCCGGTTTAAGGATTGCATACCTGTTAAATTACAGTTTTGCGGAAATAGCATGCAAATTGCGAAAGAGTCATAACAAGTACTTCAGCAATCGATGAGCTTGTCACTTGTATATGGGTAACAATTCCACTACTAAGGTATATTTTGTACAAGTACAGCGCAAGCATGCGAAGAGGGCATTGCTTGTAGTCTACGTCATCGCTCGATGGTTCATTCATCATCATTCGACGGTTGTTGCCAAATCGTACATCTGGCATGTTGTTCGCACCCATCTCCATCTCAGGCAGCTAACCAGAAGCATGCCGAACGCATGCGCTAGAGCAGATTCAATCGTTAATGAAGGTGTCGCGGAGGACGGTCGGCATCACACTATCCCCCACGCAAGAGCAAGATTCTTCTGTGATTGAGCGAGAACGTTCGCTGCGACTGCACATCGAAGGCGCTTGATGATTGGCGCGTGGCATACCAGGTACATCCCCAGACCATTTCACATGTAACTCACAGAAGTGCAAGCAACTTACACGCCACAAGAGGCAGAACGCTGCAAGCCTCTCCATGTAGACAGATCAAGCAATTTCACAAAGGTCCTTGCTTCACAGAAAGACGGAAATCAAGCTGATTAAATCTGGTTAAAGAACTTTTGAATGTTGAACACAGTCAAGCAACAATGATCACAAAAGCATGCCTGTGATTGGTCAGGCAGCGCTTTTCACATGCGTGTGATGAAAGAATGTTACGGCACAACGCAGGTTACATCTGTGGCACTGCAATAAAAAACGGCTGGAAACTCAAAGATGTGGTCGGTCACAAGCAGGGCGCGAACGTAAGTAGCAGGTTGACCACAAAGTGTTTTTGAACTCAAGGAAGACTGAGCACTCTTTGCTCGATTGAAAGTTATGCTTCAAATCAAGACGCGATGTGAATTTGAAGGAGCTTGTATGGTCCGTTTGAGTTTTCCTTTCCATACGATCCCGCTCTTTTCAGGGGGTAGGCGGATGGTGCACGCTGTTGGCATAAGCAGTTCGAAGAGCGACCTAATGCGAATCCTCGAGGAAACTCATGCGACGCGACCAGTGTTGGGTGACCCGCTGATCAACATGAGTGAAAGTGGATCGGCAACATGTTGTTGTCGTTCGACGCAGAGATGTGCGAGTTGCAGTCTTAGACGAAGCCAGACACGATAAAAGACATGTCGCAAACGGCATTTCATACCACGTCACTGGTCAGAAATTCGGAAGTATGGACGAGGTGGTTCAATTTGATCGTGTCGAACCGATTATGATGTCCGCTGCTGTCGCAAGGTCCTGGAAGTCCGCTACAAGACTGGAAG